AATGTTATATCAGAATCACACTATGCAGGTGTGATATCTGGCTAGTTTTGTAATGTTATTTCATATACGCACACACGCACACACGCACACACGCACGCGCGCACACACACACATCCCACAAGGTATCAGTGACACAACCTTAAATAAAAGCGCAAAAGGGTCTTTACTGATGGCTCATATGGGGTTAGTAGGTCTCCCATTTAAATGGTCAATCTCACTTTGAGGAATAACAAACAATATTAGTTATGTCTTTAGTTGCCGTATACGGTGTCATATTAGGTTAGCAGGAAAAATTTGGTCGAGGTGTGTTGTTTTCATTTGCGGATTAGCTACGAATTCTATCCATTTTAGCTATAATAACGGTAACGTTATTTTTCGGAGCATTGTCATTTGCAGAAGCACAATGTCTGTTCAACTGCTCTGCTTCTTAGACTACTCTATTATTTTATTAATAAAGTCACGAACGTGATTTCTTTGAAAAATAATGTCCTTGCACATTACAATGAATGATAGAAAAACACAAAATTGTGTTGAATAACGAATATCTGTACCAGAATCTGCATGTGAAATATGTTAGGTGGTTACTGGAAAATTCAAGATGGCTGATACTGACGGTATACGTTTCGTATTTTGTCAGTATCAGCCATCTTGTAACTGATGGTGTAAGGGCACACGCCTGTATTCCTGTTTCAGCCGTAAAATCGAATCTGCGATCTCATTTCTTGACCATCGCGCATTTTGAGCTTGAAGGGACAAATAAAACATGGCTGGACGCCCGACTAGGTATTCCAAACATTTCATCACAAGAAGATATTGGCCACAACCCTTATATTCCTCTACGCGTCAGCCCAACAGGCATATCTAGTTTCTCAGTTACACAGAAAAATATCTCCATTTTTGTAGGCTACAGACATTTTTATGACCAAACTTTATGACCAACACTTAATATCTGCTTTACAGTCTGCGTCTAAAAAAATGTTGTCACCTGCTGATCTCTGAGAATTCTTCACATCAAGTGTTCGCCACAGAAAGGCTCAGTCACCTTGAACCACCATTGATGCCCAGCTGTTCTTCCCACCTAATTTTATTTTTGCTTACATGGTACAAGTTTGTCTTTTGGCAAACACAACACAAACTGGACTGTTGATTTCGACACCAAGGAAAGTTACTCTATGGTCCCGTCCCTCCACTTTACTCCAGTTAATGTTGACAAATCTACGCAGGATTCACCTTTACTCACAGCGCCAAAGTTCTTGAACATTAATCAACATCATCACACACAATCAGAAAATCATCTGAATGTGCAATCATTCATATCCACAACGTGTGAAGGAGTTTGGCAATGGGAAGGTAAAGGGGGGTAACTCTAAAGTAAAATACATGGAACGCGACCTGAGAGGAGGAATTGTAAAAGCGGCAGTAAAATAACCAATTTCAATTACCCGACGAATCAGATTCCAGTGGGCGTAAAAGACAAAATAGCGATAAATAAAATAGGAATGGATCACTGTAAATCACCAGTTGTTCAAGTAATTAATTAAGTAATCAATTGTTAAAACAGTTCTGTAATCCGTGAACACTTTGAGCTGAGGACAAAATCACAATTACATGAACATATTTGATGTCATCAGAAGAAGAAACGGAGCTTGGAAAAGGAACATATATCTATATGTTAGGCCACGCTCCTAGGTTCACGTAGACCAAATGCCATTTCAAACAAAAATTGTCAGTATAAAGGCCGTAAATAGCTTTATAATTATGGCGGCCATATTGAAAATTGGACTCAAACTTCTTGGAACAAAGTCATGTGTAATCATTGGTTGGAACAATTACGTAAAGTTTCAAATTCATTGGTGCAGTGGTCTTTTAGGAGAAGAAAATGTACGACGGGCAATCAGACAACGTGACATAAGCCCGCCTGACTTTCAGTCAATGCCCTTTCTGTGGTTCAATGTTTGCTATCGGTTTGGGGCAATATTCAATGTTGTCCTGATATTTCTAGCTTCTCTCTTCAGTTTCCTGCCCCAATAGATGTTATACTTCGAATGAACACGTGTGATAGTCGAAAAACTCGAACCATGTCGAAAACGTCCCCATGTCCCTTCTGGGCCGTCGTAGTTTTATCTGTTTGAAACGGACGTTAAATCTATCAACACTGTGCGTGTGAGGCTCATGAATGTCGACGTTGGCGAGCTCATCTGCTGTCTTGCATGATATTTCCACCAGGAATGAGTCAAGAAGTTTTTAAAAGGCGCATAGAGAGGAAAGTACTTTGATCACAATTTGAAAAAAATAATTAACTGTATCTTCCCATGCTTTCGTACTGAATTTATTCAGTTGCAATTTTGTTTCTTAAATACGCGTTAAGTTTGGAGAAATGATAAGAAGCTTGGATATTTACATCATCCTGTACAGCCGATTGACCATTTGTTTCCTTCTACTATTCCTAGATCAGTTATCGGAAACAATGGTGGATAAATTGTTTGTTCATATTAGAAATACAGTGCCATTTATCATAAGATCAATTTTTTAGTCAGCTTTGAGAAAACGCTATATATTGCACACTGCCCTTAACTATACTCCCACGCAAAAGAAACGCAAGTGCTTTTAAGCAAATAGGTAACAAACACGGAACCATAAATTGATACGAGTTTTAGCATGTAGTGAAGCCTAATTGTGTTATCAATATTTTTGGTTGCATTTTGGAAGCCCCGAGTAATAACGCAACATAAAAAACGAATCGCCAAAACGCACCATTTCAATGAATATGTGGGTATCATGCACCCATTTCTCGCGAAATCGAAAATGCACGAACTGTCACGAACTGTAGTGGGTATAAAACTGTGGCCGATTCTTGGACCTACCTCTCCTTGGTCAACAATGCCACGCCTAACTCATATTCAGAGAAAACAGGCTATCGGACGTTTGGAAGCTGGAGACTCTGTCCAAGATCTTGCCCGTCATTTCAACGTTAACATAACCACAATTAACCGTCTCCTGCATCGATACAATGCTACACAGACAACAGATGACCTTCCTCGGAGCGGTCCTCCTAGGGTCACCACACCTCGACAAGATCGGCAAATTACCCGTCAACACCAGAGACATCCGTTCCTAACTGCAAGTGAACGTGCTCGACAGACCATAGGAACACATAATCGACACATTAGCCGGGACACTGTGATCCGACGTCTCCGTTCCAACAACCTCAGATGTCGCCGACCAGCAGGGCGTCCTGTTCTCAAACCACGGCATCGACAAGCACGACTTCAGTGGGCACAGGGTCATCACAATTGGCGTCATCGTGAGTGGAGGCGTGTCATCTTCTCTGATGAAAGTCGCTTTTGTGTCTCCCATGCAGACGGAAGAGTCAGAATTTGGCGGCGTCGAGGTGATCGTTTCGCTGAAAGAAACGTTGTAGAAAGGGATCCATGGGGTGGACCTAGCGTCAACTGCCGATGAACTACGCACAGCTGCTCTGGATGTGTGCAGGAGGATCCCTAGGGCCTTCAAAAATCGTCTGATCCACTCAATGTACAGGAGATGTGTAATGCTAATGGTGGTCACACCAGGTATTGACTGACGTTTTGGTTTTTGACCCGAAACTGTGTAAGCCCTTAACATTTGAAAAAAACAATTTTGTCATCTGCCTTTTAATCCATTAAACTGTCTTCAGTCAAATTTTTGTCAATCTTGCCCTATTAGAATTACTTGTCTTTACTGTTGAAAATAAATAACATGTAAACTGCATACTCTACTTGCGTTTCTTTTGCGTGTGAGTATACATACTTGCTGATGACGTTATTACATCCATATTTTCTGTAGTTAGTAATACGAACATAAAGCCTTAGATGAAGTGCCATGTATTTGTCTTACCATGCTTCTCAGCATAGGGTTAGTAACTATAGCAACCTGACAATATGTATGCACGTGATGATTCCGGGTTAGAATATGTCCCCAGCACTGTATTACTGGTCGTAAGGGGCGATTTAATGGATGGGGTGGTGACATTGCGTGTCACAGGCTGATCCAGAGTGGGGTCCCCTTCCCTCCCCTTTTGAAAACCAAATGTAGTATGTTGTAGGCAGTAATTGTATCGGAGATTATCTGAAAGTTATCTATAATTTGGATCTCTCCTTTTAAAAATGCTGGATCCGAACGTGTGTGTCAACGTAACCTGACGACGTGGATCGTTGCTCACAATATCGATCACTGGATTGTCTGGTCCAGACTCGGTTATTTACAGGCCGGCGTCATGTAACTGAAACAAAGCTGAGTGCGGCGTTACACACACACACACACAGAGCTTCAACTACCATCGTTTATCTTTCTCTCAATACATCTCACACGTAGGGGTCACAGATGAGAAAGTCCGCAGTGTCCAATACGGGATCAGGTGGTCACAACGTGTGTCCATGTTGATTGAAAAGCATTGTACCCTACTGGCTCAGATTCTTACTGGGGGCACGGGTGGCCCAGTCGTCTAAGGCGCCGCGATTCGCTGTGCAGAGTTGCGTCCCTTGGGCACGCCAGAAACCTATGATTGTGGGTTCGAATCCCGGTTCGCCCCAATTATGTTTCTAGGTTTGTCAGCACCATACCCGTGCTCGTGGGTTTCACCGAAGTGGTAAACGTCTGAGACTTCGGGCTTCACTTCGGGCTTTCCTCCCACATTAAGCTGACACGCCGCGATATAACTGGAATACTGTTAAAAGCGGCGTTAAACCCAACTCACTCACTCACTCACTCAGATTCTTACTCATGACAACGTATTTGCCGGACCTGCACACGATTATCAGGCCGTCGGTGATGAAGCATTGCAGCATCGGCAACTATTAGTCAAACACAGAGCGTTCTGGTTTCCACTCATCATACAGGTATCTCTGAGATAAAAATAAGAAAATAAATCACATCTTTCCGAGGCAAGGAATTCCAGTGGAAATATGACTTTGATAGTCAGAATCGTAATGAATGACGTAATCACCACATAAGGACATTTATAAGTGACGTGTATTTATTCATGTAAGAAAAGGTTGTACAAAATATAATCACCATCGATATGTACACTGCCCTATGACAAAGGTATTTGCGTTCATATTTGACAACAGTCGACACATTTACTCCCATAACTACAACACAAACCATTCGTAATTATCTGAACCGCGAAATTAGTACGGACATATTCTCACATTTACCCATTGACGAAAACAGTGTACAACAATACACTTCCGCACCCACTGACATCTACAACACTTTTATACACTGATGCACGCTTAAATAAGTCACGTGATAACCGGTATCCAGTATGGATTGTCGTATTGACAGTCAGATGTCGCACAGCGACCTCCGATATCAGTTTTCCTCAGACTGAGACAGTCCACAGGTCGCGTCACAGTCTCGTCTTCACTCCGTGAATGTGCGAGAACATGACCTGGTGACGAGCACGTCATGGCAAAGACTAGGCAACAATAACATCTACAAAGTCCATAAACATCGGTCAGCTTCTTTCGCAGCAGCACTAATCTCTTATCACAGTGTAGCCTGGAGGCAATTTGCATATGATTTCTTTCCGTGTATATACGGGCGCCGTGACAGAGTCCCTCACAAACTGTGCTTCCAGGATGTGGAATGGCTGGCTGGAGGTCGGCGAGATTTCCGAAGTTTTACGTTCACAATCAGAATCTTCCTTCCGGATTAATGTCGTAACAATGTTCACATCATGCCGTTATGCAGTTTTCAACCTCCAGTATGTGCTGGATACCGACATCGACATCTTGAACAAACTTGGAGGGCTGAGACAGATGAGGTTCGTTGTTGATGTCGCGGTGACCGTGGTACGTCTTCTCGTTGTCGTCGTCGTCCTTCTCAGTCACTTCCGGCTTGTGCTGGTATACACCGGTTCCAACGAGTAAACTGTGGCATCTCTCGACCGTCTGTTCGTGCAGGTCGGCGTTTGACGGAATGTGCCGAGAGGAAGGAAGCCCTTGTTGCGTTGTCACATCGTTGCCGTTCTTCTTGTTGTTCCACACCTTCTGAAGGTAGCGGTCGTACAGGTTGGCACCGTAGATATCAACGTTAGGGTTGTCGCTGGAAGATAATGGTAACGTGATGAATTCAGAACATATTTCATTCGTCAGTTAGTTTAATGAGTAGGAGTTAAATGAGTAGCGGTTTAATCATTGAGTTAGCGATTGATTTAAAGTTAAATTTATAATTTGACGTTGCAATATTTCAACCATAGAGATGACGGCACGTAAACTTAATGTGGGAGGAAATTGATGCAGGTCGCTGACGGATTCCGGGTTACTCCAACCAACAACCTTTAGCCTGCATGTCCATTATTTATACAATTAGAGCTTCAAAGGCTACGATTACTTTCCCTAAAGGAGGAAATAATAGTTTGTTTCCATCATTTTCGAAATAATGTCAATATATTCCTTACCCAATGAAATAGAGGCGTTTGATAGGTTTCCTTATGCCCATGGTCTTGGCTACTTTGCTGATAGTGTGTTCGGCGAACCTGTACGTGATCTCGCACGGCTTGCCTACCAGGGTTGAATACTCCAAATCCTTCCCGGTGATCTTCTGTAAACGGAGAAAGGAATGTTTAGAGATAATTGACAGTACACACTATATACAAATCGATATGAAAACGACACCGATTACCGCCTACATTCCAAGACACTGCAACGACAAAACTTCTTTATTTAACGTGTAACATGGAGCGTGCGCTCATTTACATCTTTCGTACTCGTGTTAAAATTTGATGAACACATATTCTGAACTGGAACTTACTCTGTATAAAGCTTCAAGACAAACAAGGAAAGCTCCGTGTCCGAACCTGAAACATCAAAACGGTAAATGTAAGTACTGTCCATTACACTAATAGAGGGGTCGGGTGTCACTCTAGTTTCGTATTCATGGGATTTCAGAACTGAGGCTCGGGAAAAGTGACTGTCTTAAACATTTAGATCAACACCTTTGACTGCTAATTCGAGAGAGGGTGTGGGAGAGTTTTTAGTTTGTTGTTTAGCGTCGCAATATTCCAGCAAGAGGTCTCAAGTATCTAGATCGCCTACCTGGGAATGCAGGCTTCCGCCATGAATTGAAGGTCCATGTTGCACGCAATCACCGGAAGTTGGGGCACACGTTTAGGGTCTGCGGGGGCCTTGGTGGGTTTACCCTCCGTCAACAGCAGGTCCATCAACAGTTGGAGGTTTGCCTCCCAATGCGTGGGCTCGGCCAACAGCAGAACGGCTGCAAGACACATCAAAGGGTTTAGTTCGGTGGGTAGGCTTTTAGTAATGTACCGAAGATAACACGACAGGAGACACCAAGATTTAGTTTTACGAAAATGGAAGTAAACGCTTCAACCACAAGGCTCCATCACCCGGTGCCCTAACATTAAACACTTTAGTTGTATATTGCGTTCTTGTGTGATCTAGCAAACTCGTTAATATTGACAAGTATTTCCTGTCTGATCTATCAGTTAATTGTTACCGGGAAGAAAAATACAATCCTAGGCCCGTTTCATAAAGCGGTTTTAAATAGAAATAAAGATCAGATGAATATTATTTTATTGTACCGACCTGTACGTACACATACATGAGGTAAAAACACTGCGAGTTACTCCTTACCTTCGATTTTGGGAAAGTCGTTGTTTTCCTTGTAGCCCCTGGCAACGACCTTTCTGTTTTCGTGGTCAACCATGTCCAACAAGGGATAGGCCTCCTTCACATCATCCAGCGTGCACAGGTTTGAGAAGCCAAGACTTTTTCAGGTTAAAGATCATAGAGTATTAACGAGGTGACCATGCAGTTTGAGCAATAACATGAACTATCGTAAAATAATGATCTCAGCGGATTTTGTAGGATGTACACTCAGCCAGTGCATTATGGCGCTTTGAGCACATTGTGCGGAAATTCTAATTGCAACACCGCATCTAATTAATTCTAGTGGAGTGAGGTGAATTTGGGGTTTAACGTCGCGTTCAAGATCGTTTCACTTCCGTAGCGACGTTCATGCGACTGTGAGTGGCTGCTTGGACTGGTCCAGACTGTAGCCGGTTTTATAGTGCTTGCCCACTGACCTACCATGCTGCAGTTAAACATGGACATCCCACTCAAACACACTACACTGATTCCAAGCGGACCTGTTTTTGTTTTAGCCCCTTTAAACAGTAGATTATTTAATGTCTTTTAGTATGACGTCACCGGGGACCGATCTTCCGCTCTCTGGGCAGACGCTATTCACTAGACCACTGGAATTAATGCCATATGTAAAACCGGTATAATGCCTTTGTAGTTATTACGTTTCGAATTACACAATATTTTAACAATGTGGGGCTGCCAAATAACCCGAGCCGAGCTCCCCTTTAACATGTTTCCGCCTTGTGCAAGAAAAAGAGTTAACTTAGCAGATACCACACACTAATTAAGTTTGTACAAACACGTATTGGTTGTGTGTGCTCTCTTAATAGTATTCTGGAAGCAGTCGTGATATGTTACAATGAAGGATACTCTTTGGCAATCTCCAGCCTGTGTTCCTGGCCAATCACCAGCACGTGCTGATCGTGGAATTGGCGCAACAGCTTCACGGGAGTCGGCGCGTGAATCACCTGGTCACATGACACCTGCAACAGACGACCATTTGTGTTGTAGTTATGGCGTGGTGGAAAACAACATTTACTGTAACGCTATTCCACTTTAATATCGGTTCAAATGACTTGTCCTTTACGATGCAATTCTGATCTACAGTATAACTATCGTGAGAGAAACTCTAAAACCAAGAATTTAATTTACATGGCCGCAATGTGTCACTTACTTCTAAGTTGAACCATCCTGCGATCTGCTTCGCCTTATCATGGGTCCTATTGCAAGCGTTTGTGACGAACGCGCATGGCACGCGCAGCTGTCCATCGGCGTCCTTCAACTTGTCAATGGCCTTGACTGCAGGTGCGAGGGCGGCGCTGCCTCGAGCCAACACCCCGTCCACGTCAAACAAGATGCCAAAGTCCGGCTGAAAGAAAGTTTGCACGTGTTAGTAACGAAGGGAAATGTCTTGAATTATCTTCATAAAACTAAACTAGTCCGGTTCTTGGATTGCGAACTTACTTAAATTAGAACACTGTACACACAATATGTGTGTTCTATTCGGGCTTGGAATTCACATTTGTTATTGGGATAAATAGTTATCACACCAACACGTTAACCACTTTCCTTGTACATAAGCAAAGTATTTGTGTCATTTCAAGAAATGAAATCATCGACAAACAAACAAAATATCGCGAAACAATAAAAATAGATGACACCCGGAAACATTCCACTTAATTATGTAGAACGAGTTATAACTAAGGCGACGCTACTTTATAGAACAGACTATAGTCCACTTGCCTCAAGGTTAGCGACCCAGGACGAGAGACGATATACAACCAATCTGGACGCAGTAGCTGTCCCGCGAAGTCGGGCTAGCATCATCTCACTGATTTAAGTTTAAAGACGACTACACGGAAGCAATTCTACATCCAGAAAGTGCAGACTCGACAAAAGCCATCTCTCGCCAAGCTATTGCACAAGGTGGGGGAAACCCCGAAGTTGACCTAGCTCATTTGCATATCACATGGTAGCTTGTTTACGTGATCAGCTGTTCGACACGCGGGACGAAACCAGTTGGTCCCGCTTCAAATTGATGGGTTAGCACCTTCCCTTTGTACCATTACTCGTCTTGCCGTTCAAATATTACTTTTGACACACAAGCAGGAAAGTATTTAATCAACGAAACTGTCAAATCGAAGATTTCGTTCTACAATAAAACAATGTTACGCATAGATGTATATTGTGAATGAAAACGCTCACTCACCTCGGCGATCGAGATGTCTGAATCGGCAGAAGACGAATCCGAATTGTCTGTAAATGAAAGAAATAGTTGTTACAAGTCTATAAAAGCATGCATTTGTTATTATCTATTCTAGCTTACATGTCAGATCAGATGCCGTCAAGATATAGCTGAGAAACTCACCAGTCGAATATCCATCATCGCGAATCGGGCTGTGGGTAACTCTCATGATGTCAAATATGTATAAATATCAATCGAAGATAACTGTTTTGCAGTTGCAGTAACGTCAAAGTATCAAAGTCACGTTCGAGTTGTATCTGAACAACGACGAGGTGGTGCCCACATTTATAGGAGGCCATGCTGTCTTGTTTACTATCAGATACTTTGCATACTCCTATCTGATTGGCTGGTATCGAGGTGAGGAACGGAGGTCAGAGGGTACCGCGGAATAATTGTTTACGTCGCTGGATGTAATTCGGTGACGGGGCAAAAGTCGGTGAAGGGCTACGCCGATAACCAGTTACTCAGCGATTGCTAGAGTTAGTCAACCCCGGCAAAGTACACAGGTTATCAGTGAAGCCGGTAAAAGCACATGGCAAGACACGACTGTCTGACGTTTGACGATGGCTGGACGTAACACTAACCGACATGAACATGACATCTGGATCTAAACTTTACTGACCACGAATGTCATCTTCACGCCTACGAGATTACTACAAAAACGACCATTTTTCATATTTGTTGTTTTTTTCAGAGTGTGAAGTCTTGACGTGGAGCGTCACATTTCAAGCCTCTTAACTGATATGAACTCCCAGTTACAAACATGTTAAAAGATCGTGTCATGTTGATTTGAGGCAAATATGGATGTTTTTTAATGCTTTAGGTTGATACCGCTTTGAACAGTATTTCAGTTATATCACGGCGGTGTTTGATGTGGGAGGAGAGGCCCGGGTGATGCAGATCTTGGACGTTTAAAACTTCAGTGAAACACACGATCATTGATATAAGAAATATAACCTAACAAGGGCGAACCGGGATTAGAGCCAACGATCATAAGATACTGGAACTTGAAGGAACGCAACTCTGCACAGCGAAGTACGGCGCCTGGGGCACCCGCGTCCTCTGGTTTAGTTGTAATAGTTGCACAATAGTTACATGAAAGTGAATATGGTTTTATGCCACTTTTAACAACATATTCCCACAATGTCATGGCACAAGACATTCATCTTACCGGTATTACATTCTGAGCAGTAGTGACGTAATTACGCCCCGTCTTAGCGAGTGAGTGAGTGAGTGAGCACTTGAGCAACTTTAAGGAGGAGATCACCAAAAATTAGCTTCGCCAGTACCGATCTGAGGAATCGAGTGAGTGAATGAGTATGTTTTCACGCCGCTTTTAGCAATATTAAAGCAATATCACGGCAGGGGACACCAGAATTGGGCTCCACACACTGTATCCATGCGGGGAATCGAACCCGGGTCTTCCGCGTGTAACGACGTTTCACTTTAACCACAATCTACCCTAAAATCCAGTTTTGTTATCAATCTCACTCCGAACACGATTATATAACAAAAACGAATTATCACCATCTTAACAAATGCGCTGTTGGTAACACACTTAGGATATCTCCATGTTAATAAATAATAAGCCATATACAGCCACCTGTGCACTTCACTCATGATATATGATATTACATCAATTACATTTTCGTCAAATAGATCATGTTTCTCAATAAACTTCGCATTAACCTTTACATATGTAGGTTAAGGGCAGCACGTTTCCGTTACATTGTGACCGAGTGAATTGGTTTAACGCCTATTTCATGGAGTGTCTGCTTAATGTGGGAGGAAAACCCGGAGTGATGCAGTTCGTAAACGTATACCACTTTAGAGAAACACGCGAGCACGGGAATGGTGTCATGAGTGTGCGAGTGAGTATGGTTTTACGCCGCTTTCAGCAATATTCCAGCAATATCACGGCGGGGGACACCAAGAATGGGCTTCACACATTGTACCCATTTGGGGAATCGAACCCGTGCCTTCAGTGTGACGAGCGAACGCTTTAACCACGAGGCTACACCACCGCCCTAAAAGATCATGGATCAAGATTGGGGTGTACCTAGGATTCGAACCCACGATCAACGGATAATGGTTAGTGATGAAACTGTGAATAGCAACTGTGCCCTTAGTCATGTCCACAAGGTAAGATCGGAACAACTGGTGATGGATCAAGGAAAAGCAGCAGGTGTCTAGGGAGGTTCATGTTGCGTGAGTGAGTGAGTGAGTGAGTGAGTGAGTGACATGGGTTGGTGACAGATTTTACACCCTAAAAACCACGACGGGAAGGATGCGCTTCATACATTATGCTCAAGGTGAGAATCGAACCCGGGTATGCAGCGTGACGAGCAAACGCTTTAACCGATAGGCTACTCTACTGCTCCTGCAATCAAAGCTAAATGGGCAGCCTGTCACGATTTTCCGTTGTTTAATATATGCAACTAACAATCACCGATTACACATTAAGAGGGTCGCCTCTGAGGTCTAGTGGATATAGCGTCTGCCCGGAGAGTCGAAGGTCGGTGGTTGGATCTCCGGCCGCTGCAAACCAAAACATTAAAAGATGGTACTGGTTACTCCCCTGCCTAGCGCTGTTGACCACAGAAACCATGTCACAGTTCTTGGAGATTGACCAGTCCTTTATCAAGCTGACCGGTAGATAACAGATAATCACCACTCCCGTGTATACTGCACCGTTGACAAATGTAACTGATAAACGTGATTGACAGTTTCAGCACAGTCAGCAATTCGCAACTAGAGCCTGTCAAAGTATGGACCTTCGGATCGCGGGGTGGCCATGTGGAGACCGTGGGTGCTAGTCACATCGGAGATCGCGATCGTTTCCCCACCTCGGTACAGCGTACCCTCCGTCGTTATAGTGAGGGTCATAAAGTCTCACCCTCACACCGCAAGCGCTGTTAGTTGATGCGCCATATTGGTCAGGAAGATCGTTTTCAAATACTGTGAAAATTCACGCTTCACTTTTCATATTTTTCTCGTAATGGGGCTTCGAGTTGTTGGTGTCTATTATTCCAGTCGAACTGATTTGATTCGTGTTGAACTTACGGTCTCTATACAGCGGTAATGTTCACGGTGTAATTATACAGATTAAGTTCCCGATTTACCAGTCACGGTATGAAGTAGTGTCCCTTGTATTGCTGGTGGCAGGGTCAATACATACTCATATATGAATGAAATAGGTAGAAGGTTGAGTATCCCAAAGAAAAAACGATTTTGCCCATTATGTAAAATACCACTCGATGAAACAGAATTTCACATCTGCATGCTGTGTCCCCTTTTGAGTGATTTAAGAAACAGTATATTACCTGAATACTATATTGAACATCTAACATGTTTAAATTTCAACAGTTGCATCTTCAAGCCCATATGATTTGAATCGTTTAGCTAAGTATAACGTTCTTGGAATGAAAAAAGCCGTTGTAAACAGTTAGGCTCCCAACATCGTTAATGTAAATCTGTGATGTCTCAGAAAACCATTACCTGACATATTCATGTAGGAAACAAGTAAATGATTCTCTTCTTATATTTTTTTGGTTAAATATTGAATAATAACGAATTATTGCGCATGGCAATTGAATCATTCAAATGTGTAAATCATCATCATCATCATCATCGTCATCATCATCATCATTTTCATCATCTATTACGAGAAATGGTCCATATTCATTTACATGTCTCTCTCTCACTCTCTCTCTCTCTCTCTCTCTCTCTCTCTCTCTCTCTCTCTCATATCCAGGATTCGTCCATCTGTATATGTGTTAATTAGGATACATTCACTGGAATGGTGGAGTCCAGATCGACCTGATTTCGCTGTAACGTGTGTCAGTAATAACTCTGTGCTTGCACCATCACAGACCGGTCACCAAGTTACCAAATGAAGTGAATGCTGTTTCACACTGTGAATGTAATATCCGAGCCATATTTCACGACGGCGGCTTGTAAACAATCAAATGAGCAAGACAAGCCAGTAATTGAGAGCATGAGCAATGAATTACGGTGTCCAGCACGGTGAAGGAGTCAGTGGTTAACCCCGCCTTCAACAGTATTCCAGTTATATCAGGTCTTAGACGTTTACCACTTCGGTGAAACCCAGAACATGATTCAAACCCACAATCATGGGTTTCTGGCGTGACCACGGGAGGCAACTCTGCACAGACTGGTCTAGACTCGATTATTTGCATACCGCGTAAATAGCTCGAATATTGCTGAGTGCGGCGTTAAACTACAAACAAAACAAACAATCAGTGGAGAAGTGTCAAGGACGCTGGGTGTAATTGCACGTGCATTATTTTTAATTGAATCGTGAATCGTCTTTGGACATTTGCTTATTGGTCATCAAATGGGAAACACATTTTCATTCAAAGTGATAATTTTTTTCCCTTGGGTTTAGAGAAATGAGCATACTGCATTTGAGGCATAAAGATTGTCTTTTCAACACACATCATTGATTCCTCGCATCAAGGTTTCTTGTCTCAGTTACACGCAATCGTAGTGAAAGATGATCGCGGGTTCGAATCCCGGTTCGCCCTGATAATGTTTCCAGGTTTGTCTGCACCCTTAACATGTCAAAAACATGCAATACTTCGGGGTCCCCCTACAATAAGCACAGGCGCCGCGCTGTAGTTGAAATACCGTTCATACAAACTGACCCACCCACTTATTGAGAGAGCGAGTAAGGGTACTGTGCTGACAGAGCAAAAGGTCATATTCGGGTCTGAGATTCGAACCCACAACCAGCGTATCCTGGCACACTGAGTTGCGGCACCCTCACCACTGGACGCCACAAACACCATAATGCCTACACATAGCGCCCATTCTTCACTCTTCCTTCACCCGGACACAAGTTCTGATTAACATCCACACACAGATTCGTTTCCGTTGCTAATACTTGAAGCTATCTGACCTATATATCCTAAAATAGCTCAGGCGCGTGGTTGTTGTAAGTACTTCTGTACCAAATTTGCAAAACGCCACGATGCAATTAAACATCCCCCAAATCAAGCTTTTATTATTTACAGTCAATGCTCCCAGACTATACCGACATGCACTAGACATTCCCTCTATCTATGAGTCATGGCTTGTGTAGTGTTTAACGCCAACTATATATGACGACGGTCTGTAAATGATCGAGTCTGGGCCAGACAATTCATTGATTGATATCATGAGCATCGATCCACGCAAATGGTTTTTTGCTTAACGCCGCACTCAGTAATATTCCAGCTATATGACGGCGGTCTGTAAATAATCGAGTCCGGACCAGATA